TCTGCACTAGCCTCATTATATAAGACTGAATAGAATCCACAGCAACTCCTGAACCCTTCATGTGATCCCACTGGACTGCTATGCTGTTGGATTTTTTAAAAAATCACTTGATCTGGAAAACCAATCAACAAATATGTAATATGGGGGAAAAAGCACTAAGTTTCTTAATTTGCCTAGGGGGTAATAAATGAGCTGCTCTGGATTTATTGCAAGTTTTAGCATCAGGACTGTTACATGATGAAATAAAGTTGAGTGCATTAAAAATACAATTGACCATTGAAGAGATTTTTTTATAAGTTTCTGTACAGGTGTGAACATTTTCTGAATGCTCTATGGGCGTCGAGGTGACGTACATGGCGCTCCCTGGAGGAGATGCAATTTACACCGAGAGGTACTTTTTCTGGAGCAAACCATGATTCAAGCTGCTGTTTTCCCAACAAGCTCTTTTTCAACCCACTGTGCACTGAAGCAGAACGTCATCCTATTGTACGCGCACAACCCATGGACACTGAGACCAACTGCAGCACCACGATTGCTGCCCAACAGAGCTCAGCTGACTCAGCACAGACTAGGGTTTGCACAAGGCTGTCATGCAACACAAAACTATGAAGATCAGATCAGTGCACTGTGCTGAGTCAGGTGATTTCAAGAGCACCAGCAGTAGGGTGCAAGTGGCCTGAGTACTCCTGTACTAAGGAGGGAAAAATTAGCCAGATTTCCTGCTCTTAACTGCTATCCAGTGATGCTTGGTGATTAATCTGGCTGGATTAACAAGAGTAGTGCTGCAGCATTTTATAGAAATAAAATAAAGTGAGCCAGTTACATACAGGGTGAGATTGACCTGTTCTTTGCCATCTACAGCTGATCAGCCCAACAAGTGACATATTGTCATTCTGACAATGCACGTGCCCTAGTAGGTCAATTCACGTCTCTTGCCATTCAATGCACTGTCACTCAGATGCTGGAGAATGGGGCAAGGGGAGAAAGTGGGTGAGGGAAGAAAGAGGGAAGAAAAGAACGGAAGAGAGGAGAGCGGGAGAGAGGGCAGTCAAGTGTCACTCATGCACTCTTCTGGCTACAGATCCAGAGCCAATAAAAGTCTTTGCAAAACAGTAAAAGGTATTTATAAATTGGCTATTTTCTCCCAGTTATTTGATCCTAAAACGTGTAATCCAAAACCAGAAAGATTATTAATTTGCTCCGATGCTTTGTGCTGACACAGGGCAGCATATGCTTTCAAACAAAGTAACATTATCGGCTCCCCAGGCATACTTTTTATTGGGGGGGGGGTTGTCGGTGGGTGCTCAAATTCAGAATTTATCCCTTAGCGTGAACAATCATTCCACTCCCTCTTCTCAAAGGCACTGACCCATGGCTGAGGTACAATTTCAGGGAGTGCCATTCTTCATGTTTGTACAGAGCTGGAACAATGAGTGCTGTCAGCCAATTCAATCTTGTGGGAGAGGGGGTTGGGGGGAGGCCCAGTGTAATCCTGTTCTCATCCACACACACACACACACAGTTTCAGCAGTAGTCATCGCACAATGATCGGAAGTGTGGTGGAGCGTGGCTTAATCTCCTCCTGTACCTCACCCACTACGTTGTCGTGAGTTGTAGAATCCCAACGGCAGGCTCGGCTGAGGGCAGCTAACTCAGTACAGACTGGGGATAAAATGTCAGACCCTTCTTGTATTCTGGTTACCATCCATTTGCAATACATTACCTTCATCAACTGAGCCATTAAGAAAGCCTAAAATGCCCCAGGGAACTTCATCAACATCACAGCAACACCAAGAACTTGACTCCAAGGTGATTTCCAGTTGGAGACTGATTCTTGCCAGTCAGCATGATAGACATGGGATTCCTACAGACAAAGCACTGAAGAGTTTTTCCCAAACTCACAAAATAGTGTGCTATTTTCACTTTTGTTTTCCTTATGAGCTGTTTAAGCTCCAATTTATCCAAAACTCTGCTTCCCTGATCTTCACCCGCACAAAACATCCACCACAAGCTCCTTACCCCAGTCCTCACCAAGTTGCATGATCTCTCTGTCTCCCAGTGGACCTATTTCAAGGTCCTCACCCTCACCTTCAATTCCATTCAAGACCTAGCAACCCCTTGTCTCTGATTATCTCCTCCTCCACTCCTCTGCTTGGCAAATTCAGGCTTGTTGCATGACCCCCCCCGGCCACCGCTCTCTGCGCCACCGTTGGTAACTGAACCTCAAGACTCACTACCCTCTGGAATTCCTGCCCTCTAAACCTCTGTCTTGTCCCCTCTATGTTTGTCTTTTATTTCCAGCCTTAAGACCTACCACTTTGACCGCCATCTATGGCCATCTCCTCCAACTCCCCTCCCCCTTTTGGCAGCCAGCCTAATGTTTGTACAGCACTCCAAGATAGTATCCTATGTGAAGGAACAGCATGCTATATAAGTGCAAGTTGTTACTATTTCACAACCTCACAGTCTCGTTTCCATCCCAATTTTATACCTTATGTTTATGAGAGCCCTGGAGGCAGATTCCTTCATAACTAGAACTCTGAATCATGTAATTTGATGTTTTTCTAGCTTGTTTAAGAACTCCTGTCTGATGGGGAGACAGATGTCTACATGAGTTTTCTGTTGTAATTGATTCAGAATATTTTACTACAGTATCTGGTTTTAGGCACGCACATCATCAGTTTTTCTCCTCCTCCACTGTGGTTAATTTCAGCAGTGTGTGTATGAGAGAGGGAGATGTGAGAGACTCATCAGGGCCAGCATTTATTATCTATCCTTAGTTGCTCTGAGTGAGTGGCTTGCTAGTCAATTTCAAAGGGTGTTAATAATCAACCACATTGTGTGAAATTGCAGTCGCAGGTGGGCAGACCAGGTAAGAATGGCAGAATTTCTTCCCTGAAGCCCATTAGTGAACCAGGTTGTCTTTTTTGTAAAACAACATCCATTAGCTTTGTGGCCATTTTTTTGGTGCTGGTTCCGAATGAGTTGAGTTACATTGGGATAGACGTATGCATGGGTGGGTGCACGTGTGTGTACCCATATGCGTGAGTGCCTGCGTGAGTGTGAAGGCATTTATGCGAATGCCAATGCCAGATATCGCCATTGAGAAGGAGTCCACCTCTGGCACCTTAAACTTGGATAAATATTGAGTTTAACCCTAAATTGACCCCAATGAGTCTTAGAGGGCTCTGTTTCAGACAATGCAGCCAATGTGCATTTCTTCATTATAATTCTCTTCTGCCATTCTGATTCATAGACCTTAACATGTAAGTGGCTGCACACATTGCTTTTTTTTAGACTCCCAGGTGAGGCCAGGGTCAAAGGGCCATGCAGAACCAGAGAGCTACTTCCTGAGTACTTGCTTTCTATAAAATGGGGTCTTCTTTACATCGTCTTATGAAAGAAAAATCCCACTTTTTAAAAAATCAAAGCAACTTTCTCTTTAACGTTTTAGTCCACCTGTGTCACCCGCTGGCTGAAGAGCAGAGGGAAGCTGATACACTCTGCCTCCCTCTGACCCTCAGCCAGCCAATTCCACTCTTGAGTCCAAATGATGAGAGGTGGGCAAGAACATGGGGGTGATTCATCTACTGTATTGATCCTGATTGGGTATTGCAGATGGGAGCCCACTTTCACTTCTTACTCCATTGTACAGTAATGTTGTAATGTTCTGTTGTAACCCTTAAGAAAAAAAATCAGTTAACCTGCCAATTTGGCCCTTGATGATCAGCCACTCCTAATCACAGCCCAGTGAACCTCTGCAACCATTGGTTGAGGACAGGGATCAGGCTCAGTTGTGATGCCTCCCACAGTCGCATATTCTGAGTGGATTTGATCTCAGTTTGGTTTGGATACTCTTAAGCATGGTGGTGGGTTTCTGCATGTATCATACACCTAGCTGACCAAAAAAAATCTTGGAGCAGGTTACACACCCTGTCAGCTGCAGGTGGAACATAGCTCTGGCAGACCAAGAAGGGGATGTGTTTCCCAAACCTTCTCCCCTCCTGACATAGCGTCCTCAGCCTGTCTCAGATTTTCTCAGCTTCACATTTAGAAAGAAAAGTATTTTGTGCTTTGAGTAAATGGTATTTATGATAGTTATAATTATTGAGTAGATTTAACATCAATACAAAAAATATATCTGTGTAAAACAAAATCAAGGCCTGCAACCCTCTGCTCTGAAAAGAAAAAGAAAATGACAATGTGCTCATATGCAGAGCTTTCTCTTTATAGCACAGCCCGGAGGCTGCCGGGAAGCTTTTTATGCTGAACATTGCACAAAGCATCTCCTCACTTGCAGCCTTTGTCATTTGTCTCTATTTTTATTCCACAACCCCCCCCCCACAACCCCAACATACACACAGCCATTCAAATAATCCCCTATAATCCTCTATAATTAAAATCATCATAAGGACCAAGCAAGGCTAATTGCAGGTTGGCTAAGAAAATGCATATTTAGGCTGCATTCACAGACAAAAATACAACACATCAAAATCAGTTTAGTAAATTACACATTGCCAAAGATTACTAGTGTTAAGAAGCAGACATAGCAGCACAATGTGGTGAGAAATGAACCAAAGCTCCTGCCTCTCTGCTGGATTCAGAACAAGTTCTTGGCTTCACATCTTGAGAACAATACCATCTGAAAATATTCCTACTGTTGCAAATATTGTTTTTTTTTTAAAATCAGCATTAAAGTCACGTTTTGAGAGAGAAGCCGAAAACTGCAGTCATTTTTAACTGTACTTTTCTTGGTTTCTGAATACCAGTCTTTTTGCCACAGAATACATGCATGTTCCAGCAATCCCAGCCAAGGTTAGCTTACAGCAGTTCCCCTCACCAAATAACGTGCAAAAACAAAGCATTCCACATTCCAAAGACTGACAAAGCACAGGTCCAGTGTTGCATGCTCGAAGCACTTACAGAGTTAAAGTTATCAGCTGCTTCACCGAAGTTTTCTCAGCCCACTCAACAATGCACTCGAAGCACACAGTGAATACCTGCATTCCTCTGCACACAGCATCCTAGAGCCATGGCAAGATGTGCCGTAATGGAGATTGGCGGCTTAGCACCAGTACGGCTTCCCTCCTCTAGCAACAGCTTGCATTTAGTCACGGTGATATCGAAAAGCCTTTCAAGCCTGGGGGTGGGGGTATCAAAGTGAAAGACGCTCTAGGGGTAAAGGACGGTAAAGAGCTCCACAGCAGCCACAGACACCCCTTCGGCTCAAAGGGATGGTTTAGTCCTCCTTCCTTGGTTTTTATAATCTTATTACTACACAGTGGAAGAGCACATTTGTGTGCAGGAGCAGTAATCACTAGATTCTTACGTGCATCCGCAAAACCGGGGGAAAAGACAGCCAAGCCTGCCTACCCACATTCTGCACAAGAAGAAACTGAGGTGCTCTCTCTCACACACACACACACATACACACACAGCACCAGACACTCACCCAACCATTCATTATGTGGTGAAGCTGATATGCTGCAACTGCAGGGACTAAACAAGAGCTGAAGCATATCACGACCCTTTTGAAGAAGCGGGAGAGCCCCATATAAACACAAGGCGAGCGAGTATGAAAAGGATCAGCCCTCCCTGCTCAATCTGACCTACATTATAATAAAATATCTCTTATCTGCACGCACACCCATTACTCGCCATTGGTGATTCAATTTGCAGATCAAAGGATTTATGCTAGCATAGAATTCATAAAATCAAGTATATCACAAGGCCAAGGAGTGAGTTGATTTTGAAATGAATTATAATTCTAAAGAACTACAGAAGTTAACCTTTTTTTTGAAAAACACCTTACTCTCTAAATGCAGTATCTGACTCAAGGCTGAGTTTATGTACTATTAATGAGGACCAGGTACTGGTAAGACATTTTATCCGCTGGGACAATACTGAGAATCAGAACGAACAGGATGTTTTACAGAACTCTCTAAAAATAAATAAAATCTTAATTTTGCCTGAAATTGGGATTACATTTGCAGGATTTCTTTATTATTGGGGAATGAAAGTTATGTCTGACATAGTACTCAAACACCTAGAATGAGAAAATGTCATTCAGCTCATGAAGTCCACTCCTCAAACTTACATCACTACAATTGCCCCTGATCTCTGATTATCCGCTAACTGTAAAAATTCTAGTGGATAAAAGTGTTCAATAGGTATCTAGTGTATACTATACCATCTAATTCTACCATGAATTAGACACAATGTGTATTGATGTAAGATCTTTTATCATTTCTGCAATAACAGTTTCTTAGAGAAAGCAATAAAGCCTGAACTCTACTCAATTTCTCAAGAGTGCCCATTCAACTTATTCAGTCCCTTTCCAGTGCCTGATCTCCTCAGTCAGTCCCTATCCAGTCACTCAGTACCTCACTGCCCACCACCTACTTAGGCCAATTGTAACACTCCATTTGTTTTGGACAGCTGGGTGTCTGACACACACAGAAACCCATCACTGTATTTAAGATTACCCAAAACAAACTGAGAATTCCATGCATCCCTCCCACACATGGAAATCCCAGAGATAGACTGTTGGAATGGTTTGCACACACTCTCCCCGGAGGGACGCATCCTGGTTACCTAATTCCTGAAATTATTAGGCACAGGTTGGCAGGAGCCAAGGCTTGGAGACCCCAGAGTGTGCGTTGGGATACTTCTAGAGTGTAACCAGCTAAAACCGCATAACTTGCCAATGATATCATGGTCTGGCAAGTTTTCCAGCTGCTTGCCCAGCCACGACCACCCTACCTCTGAGGGCTTCGGCTTGCAGGGGTAACAAGAGCAGATTGGGAGGATTCTCTGTCATCGGTGACTGGTCCGCCCTTCCAAGTCCTGCTGATTAGCCAGGCTGGCTGCAGTACATTGGCTGAAATCATAGTACAGACCAGGGATTGAACCTGTGATCTAACTGGTCTTCGTGACTCAGCTCCTCACCGAATAAACTCACCGATTGATCGAGGATCTTTGCATGGGAATTTTCAACTGTAATGTCTATCAGAATGAGCTTAACTGGCATTACAGTTTACTGTTTGACACACTGTTGCTTTTGCTTCATGTAGCTGTGGGTTTAGATATACTGTAGAACAGAGTTCAATCTAATCTACTTCTGCTTAGTTACATTAGGAAAATAGCATCATTACTCATTTGCTATAACTACCGGTCTGCAAGATCTTGTCAAGTGCATGGACCTTGAAGGATGTAATTGTGTGTGAAATGTTTGAAAACTTTCTGTGAATCATTGTTCCCTTGTGTTTTACCAGCAGGGCTGTCAGGTCTATTAGATACATATGTCTGCTGTCCGCCAAATGTAAATGGCATGTCCTCAAAATGAATAGCCCAGGCAAGAATGAGCGAAATCATCAAGTGATCATAAATGATTGACTTTAACATCCTTTTGGGATTTTCGCTCACTTATGTTATTTTGTAGTTCTGGTTGAGCTCTGTGGCAGGCTTCATTAACATGAAAAGTGAAGAAGTGACTGAGCCCAACAATGTGATGTAGATCAGTTAACATGTGCAGCTGAAGTGAACAGATCAGTTCCCTGATTCAATGTCTGTATCATTCAGTTAATTCTGCTTCCTCACAACGTGAGGCTAGTGGCTCCTCCCAGTCTAACCCAAGCTTGCTTTCAACACATTCCTAACAAGACTCCTCGCGCAAATGTGGATTCCTTCTGGTAACTGGAAGTATTTCACACTAACCCATAAAAACTCTTCTCCAACACAATTTATTTTTGGAGCAATGTTCCGGTGGTTCAGCTGGATTTCCAACAGGATTCTTTATTAAAAATAAATAATCCTTACATTTGGTATAGCGTGGGGAGGATGTCCCAAAGCACTTCACAGGATATACTGTGAAGTCGAGTGACTGTGTATGTAGGTGAATGCAGCAGCCTAATTAAGCACAACAATGTCCCACAAGCAGCCGTGGAGTGAATGACCAATTTTATTTGAGGGAGTTATTGGCCAGGACACCGGAAAAAACTCCCTTCTCTGTTCAAATAGTGCCATGGGATCTTTAACATCCACCTGAACAGGCAGATGAGGCTTCAATTTATTGTCTTATCCGAAAGACAGCACCCCTTGAAATGGGGCTTAAGGCGAGAGTGCTACCATTGAGCCAGGCTGACACACAAAATAATATAAAGAAATAACAACAACAACGTGCATTTATATAGCCCCCTCCGCACTGGGCGGCGTCCCAGAGTGCTTGACAATGGTGGGTCAGAAGATTGTAGGTTCGACTTTGAGTTCATGATCTAGATTGTAGACTGACATCCCAGTGCAGCACTCAAGGGGTGATGCACACTGAGGTGCCATCCCTCAAACGATATGTTAATGAAGGTCCTCTCTGCCTGTTCAGGTGGACGTTAAAGATCTCATGGTGAACTCAAAAAGAGAATTTCCCCAGTATTCTGGCTAACAATGCTTCAGTTAAATTGGTCATTCACTTGGCTGTTTGCAAGATATTGCTATTACTTTCGCCTACAAATATACAATTAATACAAGAATTACCTGGGATTTTCTTTGAGACATTATAATGTTAGTTGGCGTTATAACCAATGCAAGGATTATTACTGTTTCTATTCCAGCAATATTTATCACTCAGATTTGGCAGTTCTCTACTAGGCCACTGGAAGGAGCACTACAGGAGCTGTTCCATTGCAAGTGAAGGGAGATGGAATTAAAAGGCTGTCATCATGCAGTTTTACCCTACTTTACTCACTTTGCTGCTAGTCAATCACACCTCAATACTGACCCACAAACACAGAAAATTCCTTGGAATCAGCCCTCCTACCGGCAAAGGAAAAGAATGGAATAGGAAAAATATTCCAGATTTCAATCACCATTACATTAGATGAACAAAATGATTTCCCAAGCATATTTCCCATAGAGTCATGTTTAATCCACTCGGAAACAAATTCAGAGCAATGTTTTGGAATAAAAGGCAAGGTTAATCTCCGATAATTTGTTTAAATTAAACACATTCTTCCCTTTTGAAGATACAGTGTCTAAAATCCTAAAGGCTCTTATCAAGTAAGTATGTTGTTCAATAAGTTATTTACTCATACTGATTGTGCAACCAAATCAAATGAATTTGATACTGTTCTAATCGTCAACAGATTTCCCCAGAAATTATCGATCTGAAATTCTGTCAGCCACAAGTCTCTGACTCGGTTTCACGTTAACAGTGAAGCGCCTCCACACCCCAATCAAAGCAGAAAGTGAAATGTTTTGAAGGGTGGACACATTTTCACCTTTCCTACCGGTGTTATAATAATAATAATAATCCTTGCATTTGATACAGCACTTTTCACGTCTTCTAGATGTCTCAAAGCGCTTTACAGAATATACTGTAAAGTGAATTGACTGTATATTTGTGGGCGAAACGCGGCATCCAATTGCGTACAGCAGTGTCCCACAAACAGGATTGAAAATGACCAATTTATTACTGTTTTTGTTTTTGGAGGGACTATTATTAGGCGTGTTAATAGGCCTGATTCTATTTTCACACACACTTACACACACAAGTATCTAAGGGGTCACTGGATAATGATCAGAAGCAAATAATAGTTGATTTGCCCTCTCTTGAACCAGGTACACTGAAACAAATTATACCCTTACTCCAGTAACCAGGTTGAGATCAACTAGCTCAGGATAGACTTCTGATTTAACATGGATCTTTCCAGGGCAGTGTTTTTGCCAAGGTTTTGTTTGAATATAAGTCTTTAGAAACCCCAGCAAGCTGGTTAAAACATGAATAGAGCCAAAGGGACAGGAAGGGTTTTCATTCCAATGGCTCAGTTGTATAGCCATAATACATAATAAGGGAAACATTTTGGGCAGAGTATTGTTAACACGGATAACTGTACCACAACTTGCCTTAAAAATTAAGAGATAGTTTCAAAACCCACACTAGGAAACATGGTTATGAAGCTCAATGAAATTATTGAGGATGTGTTGCAGCAATTTACTCTAAATCTTTTAATTACAATTGTGAATTAACGTCTCAGTTTAATGTCGGATAAATACA